TAGTGCAGTAAAACATGGTTTCCATAGTTACCACAGGAGAACAGAGAATAACTTTTATTTCTTTGGAAGCCAGGAAGGGGCTTTAAAGAAAAGATTATGCAAACAGACCCATGCCGGTTCATTATTCATGGCTTCACATCTGATGGGGTTTTTAAATGGGGAAACTCTTGATATTATAAGAAATTAGAGTGTTTCCACTAAAATCTAAGGCAGCACATTAAGAAATATCAACCTTCCTGTTCTCTGGACATTTCAAACTCAATTCTGAGTCAGAAGAAAGATTGGCTTAGCAGATAACTCTATCAGATACATTTTGCTTTATTGATAAGCCATGTTGTAAACAAGTTGGTTAAAAGCTGCCTGCTGAGCATAGTAACTCATTGTTCATGGCAAATCAGGGGTCACAGGCAACTTTATTATTCACTATCAGATGTATCCTGATGGACTGCCTATGGAAGGGAACTTGAAATCCATACTCGTGAAGATGTATTCAGTGCTGGCCTCATTGCTTTCTCTGTTAGAGTTTAGATATGTTCTTTCTGAGTGTTGATGGAGGTCACTGTCACACTGTCCTCTGCTGTACCTAACCCAAGGAGTTTTGTACAGTTGCCACTCAAGACACAGAATGACATGGTTTCTGGACTCAACCTTCAGCTCACCAGTCTTTAAAGCAGTGTGATTAACAGGACTTTTGCAAAGTTTCTATGTAGTTACAAGGACAGTTTCAATCTTCTGTCATTTTTTTGCATTAGCTATGATTATGCTTTTACCACAAAAATGCATTTGTTTTAAAGGTAACAATACAGACTGGGAGAATAGCTTATGTTTCATCTATATTTATCAGCATTCACTGTACATTTGTGTCTTCATTACCAGGAAATATTAAGGGACATTGTGCCATCTATTCCTGTTTACAGTTTATTATGCAGAGATAGGAAACACTTAGCATGTAAAATGAATGTAGAAATTATTCCTGGATAGAAACACGGACATTTCCCACTCGTTGGCTCTTTCTCCTCCATCACCGGATCAGAGTGTAATTGTCAGTAATCAGGCCTGCTTGCTGCTGATAAAACCACTCTGAATGCTAGCAGCCTTCTTTGTGTGATGACTCAATTATTCCAGAAGTGCCTCATCAAATCTGCCCCATCAGCTGGGCTAATAAATAAGGAGAAGAAACTGGCCCCCCAAAGCAAATTATAAATCCATTTGCATTAACCATTTCGCTGGTCCATGATCTAGGCAGAAATAAGCATGGCAGATTGTGTTAAGCTTATTTGAATATGTTTATAATGTTTACAGCATGCAACTTTTTTTCCCACAAGGTGTTGGAATTATCAATCATAAATGGCATCTAAATGCAGTTATGTTAATTACCACATGGCTTTAAGTATCTTTGAGGGCTATTTTGTTGGTTAAATCAGGTAAAATGGAGAAATAGAAGTCTTATATAAGGTATTGGAATTGCTTCAGACTTTAAGGAGAAGACACCATGATTTTCTTAAAGAATTGGAAGGACAAATATCAATACTAGGATGCATACTTGTGTAAATGTAATTGTCCTGTCTGTGTGACAGTGCAAGCCACAGTTATTTGAGTCCACTATATGACTTCAGCCTCAGAGCAAAAATGACTTGTTCTCTAAGCAAAATGACCTCTTCTTAAAGCAAATCAAAGTTGCTGTAGAATCTTTGCACTTAAGATTTCTTGAAATATTCTGTAGGACAAAGATTCAAAAGCTGGACAAATCCCTAAAAAGTCAACTAAATCACTCAATCGTAATTAGTATATTGGTTGATAAGTCTTACTTTATTCTTTTAAAATAACCAACTGAATTGAAGTTTGGTTTATATTTGAGCTTTAGTGATAAGTCGGGGAAGCATAAAGTATTCAAAATGGATGATGAAAGGCAATTTGATAAATAACATAAAATAATTCATCTTATTGAATATCCAATAATTTAAAATTGGAAACATTCTGCGGAAACCTAAATGATCCTACTGTCTCACCTTGCAGTAAGACCTGTTTTTCCTTGTGGAGTATATGAGGCTTACAGAACCTCCTTGTCCTACTCCCTCTATGATCAGATACCTGACTGTGGTCTCATTGTGAAAAAAAGCTTATGGACAATAAGAAGCAGACTTATTTACCTAAAAGACTTAAATGAAACTCACGCTTGCATTCATTTGTTCCAGAAAACAAAGCATATTCTCTACTATCAACCTGGAGAGCTCAGCAGAAGAAATTTATTTTAAACAACATAAATATTATGTGGTAACAGACTCACAAAAATTTGATGCATCATTTCCTAAATAGAGAATTGTGTGCTCTAATGGACAAAAACTACTCTAAGGCTTACTGACTAGAACTTCAAAAAAAAAAAAGAGAAACATGAATAGAAATAAATGTCAACAGAAATTATGAGAAGTAAAAATCAAAAATGGAAATTGAAGAATTCCATTGTGTTTGCAGTTAGCCATCAACCTTATATATACATATGTATTAATATGTACGTAAGTATGGTAGTATGGGATATTAAATATCTAAGTATTTATATGCACATGATATAATAGTATATTATACAAAATTTGGCTGTAACTTAAATCATTATAATCATTAATATAAAATAAATCGTGAAGTTTAGAACTGCAAAGAACTTGTATTATAATTCCAAAGCATAGACAAGTCAAAGATAAGCCTTTTCTTTATTCTAGATGGTGAATAATCTGTGAAGCTGTTAAAAGTTAGAACAGTGTATAAGACAGTAAAACTGTTAGAAGTTGTTGAAGCAGGACCTCAAGAAGTAATGATACATAAGAAGATATGTTGGTATTGTTATGTGGACTTGTTAAGGAAATAAATCCAAGCAGTCTTTAGAGACTATTTGAACTTTCCAGGCTTCTGAGAGGACTGTTGGTCTTGCCCTTCCTGACTAGACAGAGCAGACTGGTGTCACTGGTAGGCAAACCCTACAAGAACATTGGCAATGATGGTGAGCTCATGTTAGTTACATGGCATTAGTGGTGGTGGTGAGGTCATGTTAGAACACATTGATTGTGGTGGTGAGGTCATGTTACAGAACATTGATGGTGGTGGTGAGGTCATGTTAGTTAGAACACATTGATGGTGGTGGTGAAGTCATGTTAGAACACATTGATGGTCGTGATGAGGTCATGTTAGAACACATTGATGGTGGTGGTGAGATCATGTTAGTTAGAACACATTGATGGTGGTGGTGAAGTCATGTTAGAACACATTGATGGTGGTGGTGAGGTCATGTTAGAACACATTAATGGTGGTAGTAAGGTCATGTTACAGAACATTGATGGTGGTGGTAATGTCATGTTAGTTACACCATATGGGCAAATGGTGGTGAGTTCATATTAGACCAGAAGTTGTGCATGGTACACACAGTGCATGACAAATTCATTTGCTCCTTCCCCAAAATTTTTACTTTACATTTAGTTTGGGAGATTTAATAAATATTACTTCCCTTGGAACTATATGTAAACCTACAGTTCTCAGTTTAGGGGTCACAGTTGACATATTCATCAATTCATTTAGTCCATTCATCCATAAAAACAAAATACAATCTCAAATGTTGCAGGTCTCTTTTCTTTGAAATAATATAACAGAGTCATCATACTGTATCATAGACTTGAACAGAACTGACTTTTTCAGAAGCAGGTACTCATCCATGAAGTTATTAAGGACTGACATCTTCTAACTATTTTCAGAAAGGGAAGTCAGCAAATGGAGTACTTGGTGATGACTTCATGGAGTTATGACTTCTGAGCAACTGAATCATTAATTAGAAAGATACTGTGTAGCCTTTTGGCCTGCCATACTTTGGTTACCACATAGTTTCTCCTTTTAAGGTTGCTGTTTCAGGAAAGTAGGGGCTTCCATGAAAGTGAGTGCATGCTTCCAGGTGGAGGTAGAGCTGTTGGGAGTTCTCGGAACTGTCTTAACAGTGTGAATTCCCCATGGGCTATTATGCATTTAAGTTAGGAAAAATGATATTTTTAAAAGAATATACAAAATAGCCAAAGAATGGCAAATAATAATTGTTAAAACCCCAAAGTTGACATTTAATAAAAGTGGGGTTTTAAAGGCATCTCCTTGTCATCGTGCATATGTAGGAAGAGAGGAACCCAGGTTGCAGTGGGAGATTCCTGTTTGATTATGATGGGCTTCTAAAGAGGAGCTGGGTGGAACTGTAAGTGACCGACTCAGAGTCAGCATCCTGAGAGGCCCTGCTTCCCATTTGTATTTCACTGTGCTTCCACATCCTGGGCCTTTGCATGTCAAATCATATTCCTAAACTTATCTTTTCTCAGCACCCTCTGCACACTTCTCAAGCAGATCTCAGCTGTGCTGCCTCCTTTCTAGTCTCCAGGGAGGGAAGCCGCAGCAGATGGGGTTAGGGCAGAGGGCTGACGCATCTGACAGCAAACGGCTAGGCTGCTGAGTAGAAGCTGTGAGCATCAGGAAGCGCCTTCTCCCAGGAGACCCAACTAACCACTGAAGAAAGTTGAAAATGAGCCCTTTGAGGAATGCTATTAAAAGTAGTAAAAAATTGCAATTGTGCAGATGACGTGCTGCTGTGTGCTTATTCGGATGCTAATGAGTTTGACATTAGGGAACTCAGAGGCTTTACAGCTACTCCCTTATGTGATTCAGTTCTTTATTGGCAATCTTTGAGAAAATAAATGGAAAATGTATTGCTAATAAATACATAACACGATAGGGCATTAGACAGAAAGCCATTACTTTCAGGATTTAGAAAGAGCTTTGTTCACCAGTGTGACTGCTTCTAGGATCTTTTGTTTTAGGTTGGTGTGTGGCAAACAAAGGGAAGTAGGCAGGTGGAAAGCTCCAGAACTCTTTCTGAATAAGAGTGCAACAGAATGAGCCAAAAACATTTCTTATTTTTTAAGTTGCGATCAAATACAAAATAAGAATTCCCAAGCTGTGGCACTCCTTTTCCATTCTTCTAGCCACAATTGCTGACTTGAGTTGAAAAAGCATCTGATTCGTGTCTGGTCAAAGCCTGCAGGGAACAGGCATCTGTGACTCAGAGGCCACTGCTTCAGTACACTGCACAAGGTAAACAGCAGCAACAGAAGTCTCCTGCAAGGAAGGTTGGTAGCTTGTCTCTTAAAACATCAAACTGCCAGCTGTGAACATGTAACCATGGGCATGAGCACATGGTGTTAGTACAGCAGGGCCCGCTCTGATGCTGAATGCATTACGCTGGCATTCGGTGTTTTGTTTTTCCCCCCACTCTGTAACCAAATAGAGGGGATACAGCCTTGTGCATGGTGACTTGACAGTAATGTAAACCAAAAGCAAGTTGTTTCCTTGAAAAACCAGTTCCCACACTGGCCATGGGATTAATATCGTTTTCTGCTGGCCTCTTTCAGAACAGCTGCAAATAACAACAGGTTCATTCTATCTTTTAAAGCGTCATTGCTAGAGCTCATTGCAAATTGTGCTCCAACTTTTTCTTTTTGATGGCTAAGATTAATAATAATAATAGTCATAGTAATAGGACTGTGGATATAGCTCAGTGGTAAAGTGTTTGTCTACCATGCATAAGGTCCTCGCTTCAATCCTTAATGCCACAAAAAGAATCAGAAAATTATTAATAATAATACAATTTGCAGTATAACAATTTCATTGTTTGTAATGTGACCAACCGAATTATAGGCAAAAGGTGCCAAACATGTCCTCTGTTGTTCACCTAAAGTTCACTTAAATAAGCATTTTTCTTGTCCAGCCTGATGATATGCTTTCTTTCTTTTACTTTTTCTCTCACTAGGATGAATTTCAAGATTTTCCACTAAATGAACAAAAATACTGGTATACAAGTTATCTGAAGAAAGAGTGGTGTGGTCTCATTTTTATTATTTAAAAATGGATATATTGGAAGAAAAAAATGCAATCAAAGAAATTTTGTTTTTGTTTTTTGTTTTTTGAGACAGGGTTTCTCTGTGTAGTTTTGGTTCCTGTCCTGGATCTCGCTCTGTAGACCAGGCTGGCCTCGAACTCACAGAGATTCTCCTGGCTCTGCCTCCCGAGTGCTGAGATTAAAGGCGTGTGCCACCACCACCTAGCTCAATCAAAGAAATTTTATAAAGGCTCTCTTGTCACCATTGGTCACCTATATGGATTTGTCATTGTTGTCTCTGGATTTAGAATTGTGACTGTTTCCAGTATAACAGTCAACTCAGTATTTTAAACTACTGAGCAACTGACATCCTTCGGGGCTACAAACCTTTGTGTATCTAGTTATTTGTGTCTGCCCTCACAGAAAGATTCATGGTTAAAATAAATTCAAGAACCTAATATGAGTTCATTTGTATTAAAATTAGTTAGCTGAAAGATACTTTAAAAACACATTCTTAAAAGTATTCCAGATGACTTCCAGGGCTAGTTCCTACAAACACTGAAAAGTGAAAATTTGATTGTCCTTGGGAAAAGTCTATTTGAAATAATGTATGTCCTCCAAAGGAATTATTTTTTAAAATTTGCATATTTTGTAGCCAATGAATCTCAAAATATGAGCAAGGAAAAATGTGAAAAACCTTTTATGTGTTGTTTGCCTTAAGTTATGTTTAAACGGCGCATATTTTTAAAATACACAAAACTCCAAAAACAAAACTGGTGACGCCCTCCCCACGTCACAAAGCTGTGACTCTGAGGCCATGGTGCAGCAGCTAATAGAAATCTTTGGCATACATCTATTACCTATGGGAATAACAGAACTATTTGCTGCAGACATTGGCAAAAGGATACAAGCACATGGCTTTGGGTTACGTTCAGCACTGCCAGTTGTATAAAGTTTCTGGATCGACTCCACAACAGTGGCCACAACTCAAAACCAGAAAGACAATGTAAATTACATCTCCACTGTAACATTTTCCAAGCTTGTTTCAAGTCTAAGCTAGTTTCTCTTGCTGCTGCATTTTTCAGGGACCCTGGAAAATTCCCTTTGGAAATTATTTCACCTGTGAGTAACATGCACAAGTATGATCCTTGGATAGAGCTGTGGTCCAGAGAACTATACTCAATCTGATAACAGGCTGAAGCTGCTTCCTCCTTCAGGTTTTCTGTTTGTAGGGGGATTAAAAGTGGCTAAGGGAGACAAGGGGAGTCATAAATCTGAGCTAGACACGCCATTTAATCCCTCAGCCTTTTATACAGAATCAAAGACAATACAGAAACAGGCATGTACATTTGGAGAACTAGAATCAAGAATAGCGTGCCCTAAATAAGTGAGAATTAGAAAAACACTTGTAAATATGTCACCATGGGAGGCTATAAGAAAATATTGTTTACATTTTTAAAAAGGTTGACACCGAACATGCTTCTGTTCTTCCTTAGTAATCAATAAATGTATAAAAAGTTAGACAAATAGGAAAGTAAGAATGGAGGAAACGGACAAATATTCGAGCCCAGCATTTCTCACCACAAGTCAACATTCTCCTCTACTCAGTATTACAGCTTGTTTTTTCATAACTTTCCTTATATAAAGTAGATATCTAGGCTGCCACTTTGGACTGACCCACAGCTATGTTTAGAACAGGCCATCATCATTAAAGGAAAGGACACTTAATATTGGGCTCTTTGTCCTCAAGCTAGTCAAATTTCATTCTGATAGACTGGCATCATCTAGTCATTTCATTTTTCTTGACTTTCAGGTCTGTTCCAGTTTTTTAGATTTCTCTTTATTATTTTCCTAAATTTCACTTCTGATAAGGAACTATCCTTTAGGGATTCACAGGATCTCAAGGTGAGGAAGCCGGGACTTTTCTGCACAGCTACTGAATAGCATCTCCATTTTTCCATGGGTTTCTCAGGGTTGAAAGGATATTTTATGGGCTGGGGATATAGGTCACAAGAAAGGCACTTGCCTAGCAAATTCAAGGCCCTGAGTTCAATCCCTACTATTACTATAAATAAATAAATCAGAGAGGACATCTCATAAGAATAATGCAATATATTACATAATGTAATATAATAAAATATTGCCATTTCAAACATGCCAGGGAAGAAGCACAGTGAGCCCTGGTTAAAAAGCTAAAAGAAATTAAAACACAGCTTGATTGATAATTTTTTTTTGCACAAGTATGAGGACCTGAGTTCAATTCCCAATATCCATATAAAAAGCCAGGCATAGTGGTGTGCCCTTGTAAATCCAGTACTGGACAGATGAAAGTTTCTGGAACTCATTAGACTGCCAGTCGGCCTGGATCTGGGAGCCTCAGATCACTGTCCCAAAAAATAAGATGAATAGCTACTGAGGAATGACACCCAAGGTTCAGGCCTTCACATGGACTTACGTGCGTGCACACCCACACACCCAGGTACACTCATCCATATGCAATAACTTCTCCCTCCACAAACAAAGCACAGAAATAAAAACAAAAACTCTAGAAGAAGGGAAATGATTGAACATTGGATATATTAGAAGAATTTCTCAAATTGAAAGTCCCTATTTGAGGTAGATATCAATACAATGTTAACCGTGTACAAGTTTTCAAAAATTACCTCAAAACCGAGTTATTACCACAACTTTCCCATGTGTTGTGAACCTGCCCTTCCCCTAAGAACTAGACTCGAATCTGTCCTATGGTTACTGTATAGGTCTTTGTTGAAGAAAAAACAAAATGCAAGTGAGATTGAGTTTGTAGGTTTTGTATGGTGTTCCTTAAATCCTGCCTTCTCAGAAGACTCTCTGGGACTTCCTTTCAACCCCCAAGTAGGTTTCAGATCTCTGCATTGGAGTGTTGAGGTAGCAATCTGTTTTTTTGCCCTGGATATAATAAACTCCAGTCATAAAAGGTGGTCAAGTAGAATAGCTAGAAAATCATTCCTACATCTCTGTATAGGTCTGTAAATAAGTAAAGTTGCTAAATTGCATCTTTCAACAGTCAACTAAGTAGATTTCATTCTGTGGTTACTTTTCCTCTTCATTGTGTATCAGTTATTTCTACTCCTGATTCTTACATATCCTTTATGAAATGTTTATTGACTTTCTTCATTTTATAAATGTTTTTTCTACTTGCAGTTTGTTTTTACATCTGCTTGACTACCCAGAACAATGTACCAGGAAGCCTTTTGCAAAAATTTTCCCATGTTGCTTTATTGTAAGCTAGATTCTGAACAAGAACTATCTTTTTTTTTCCTGCTGTAATATTGTACATGGTACATGTAAACTACACATTACACTGAACTCTTCCCAGTTTGTTGAAACAGGGTCTCACTGTGTATCCATGCTGACCTGGAACTTGCTATGTAAACCAGGCTAGCTGGCCTCAAACTCACCAGATCCACCTGACTCTGCCTCCCATGTGCTGGGATTAAAGGTTTGTGCCACCATGTCTACCAAATTCATCTTAATACAGTTTCAAATCAAGAAAAATAGCAATGGTACATTAGAATTCCTTGTAAGTATCTCAGAAATATCTTCTATTTTTTTCTGCGTAAACAATGAAGTGGACTATACAAAGCTATATAAAACCCACAGGACATGTTTTTACATTAAATTTCTGTTTTGAAAAAAAACAATAACTTTTACAATGTTAACTAAAATCATTTCAATAACATTTTGATGCCTAAACAGAAAGATAACCAAACATCACTTTCCAGCAAGGGGAAAAACAGTTTCTAAGAACTGTAATTTTCAAGATTGCATTACATGTTACTTAGGTCATTTTTCCTGACTCATGTAACAATTGGGTGCCTCCTTTATAATTCAGGAGGAATTTGACAGGATGGCAACCTCTCCTACCCCAAGTTTTCAGACATACACAGCACAGTGGTCTCTGCACCTTGAACGGTGTGACTGGAGCAAGGCACCCACTTTAGTACGAGGTTTGACTCTAGAAAAACTCCCCATGTTCCTTTGCAGTTTATTAAGGCCCCTGGTAGTTATCCAAATGAAGAACATTTAGAAGGTCCTGATCTCAGGTATAAAGTTCTAGAGAGCAAAGACCTACTATGTGGTGTGTGTGTGTGTGTGTGTGTGTGTGTGTGTGTGTGTGTGTGTGTGTGTGTTCATACTGCTTTCTGCTACTGAGTTGTGCCATGGTCTAATAAGATCTGGTTTGGAATTAGAATGGAAGAAGAGAGAAAGACATCTCACAAATGTTGAAACTCCCCACAAAAAGAAATGCTTATATATTTTAAGTTTCTGATATTAATACTCCCCACACGGCAGACACTGAACTTACCACTGCTCTTGAGGGTGAAAGAGAGAAGTACAATGAGGCAGACAGCCTATAAATTATAGCCTTGTTCTATTGCATGCCTATGATGGGCCCACAAGTTCAACTTCAAAGCTTACTAACACTTAGATAGGAGGTATATGTTACACCAAAAAAAAAAAAAAAGAAAGAAAGAAAGAAAGCGCAACAAAATACAGTTATGAGATAAGATTTTAAGACTGGTCAAGGAGTGTTTACGTATTCTCCCCAGTGGCAGTGGTAAGGAGGTGGGTATGTAAAGTGACTACAAGACCCAGACCCATAGCTGGTTCCTCAAAGCTCCTATAAAGAAGACTGAATTTTAGTTTGTTTCTGCAACTTTTGTGTATGCCTTCTGGAACTCTTGGCAGTCTATGTTCCAGTTTTGGTAAAGGAATTCATGGAGTTCAACCATTCCTTGTGTTGGGGGCATTTTTTAGAGTGGTCAGGGAAGGTTAATAGCACCTGTGTTGCCAAATAATAGACTTGCATTATGTGAATGCTTACCCATGGGAATAGTGTCCTCAGAAATATGTGATGTGTTTCATCATTTTAACCCTCACATGCTACTGATCTCTCTTAATCTAGTTATTTGTGTAGCACACAGAGCTACGTTTGCATGAGCTGAGCCACTTTATATGCAGCAGAGATCCTCCAGGGAGGAGGCGGATTTCACAATGCAGTACGTGCCGTCCTGAGTAAAACAAGCCCTTTTAATCCTAGGCATCTGTCATAAACTCATATGGTTTCAAAAGAAAGAAAATCAACAGGAAAAAAAATCACCTCTGTTTTATTGTTGTTTTCTCTTATTGTGTACTTTTAAAATATTTATAACAACGAACCATTTTATTTAGACTAAAGCGGCTGCTGTTCAGCCAAAGCCGTGAACACTTTTTGTTTGCTAATTTAAAAAGCAGTTCAATGATTGGTTTATTATTATGAAGCAATGACAAAAGAGTTCTGGTGGGTTTAATAGTTTTAGCCTACGAGAGCTGTTGTTAATTTCATCTGTAGTATTGCAGGTGAAAAAATGCACAATGGATAAATAGTCTATATTGGTTTAACTGAACATAATATATAGTGTGTTCTGGAGTTGTTTGTCTCAATAGACTATAGTAATCAAAAGTAATGAACCTATTATGTGCAGGACCTTGGAGAGCGTCGAATGGCAGTAAAAGTGTGGCACATAAAAGGTTTATTAAAGGAAATTAAAGTCCATCATTGCCACACCTGCTCCCCTATTATAAGTCCATGGCAGGTCAGTGCCTTCAATCACAACCTAGCCTCTGAGAGTGGAGTCTAGCTTCCATTACCATGGCAGTCACATTGCCACTGCTCACGTCAGGAATTAAGGATGGGAGCCACAGAGCATTCCTGCTGCCTGTCTCTTCTTTTCCACAAGCAAAATACCTTATTTATATTTAAGAATTCTAAAAATTTGCAGAAGTGAATTAAACTAAGAGGTTATTAGTGAATTCTAGCTAAATGAATAGATGTCATGGGGTCAGAGTATATCAAAACACAAGGTTTGAAAGCCTTTGTGTCCCTTTGATTATTTATTTGATTGCATTTGAAATATTCAGTAATGATGGGAATTTGATACTTCCATGCACCTCACTTGGATTTTACATTTCTTCTACATTTGAGTGATCTCATGGCTGTAGTTTTTCCAGAATTCGGAGACTAAATGTAGTTCACTGTTGATAGTTATAATTCCCAATGGTATTTTGGAAGGGCACTACAAGAATTTGCCTTAGGTTACATTTTAAAATAGGCAATTGTTTTTCCTAACTTAGAAAAACTATAATCAGAAAGTATCTAGAAGACTGAAAATATTTGAAATCAGTATATCAGTCTGAAACTTTTATCTTTATGTTTGGAGTTCTCACTTCACAAGCATGGCTGATGAGACAACCCTTTTTCAGTCGTGGGAATTCTATAAGCATGCAAATCATTAGCAAACACTTGTGGCCAAGGCCATCTGCCCTCTTCTGTTATTATCTCTGGTTTCCAACATCTGTAGATGTGTCTCTAAAATCAGTGGTACTTGAGGAAAGTCAGCCAGATCCCATAGAACCAGAAGGAAATCCAGGAACATGGAAGGCTATACTCTGCTCTTCACAATGACCTTCAGAATTTCTAATTATGTGTTTTCACAGTCTGGTCAATATCAAAGTAATGATCTCAGTATTATGTGTTCATATTACAGATGGATACAGAGGTTGAAGATAAAACATTGCATATTCTCTCAAAAGGAACTGAAGGTGAGTTAGTGAGCAGACTCCCTGACACTGTGCCTACAACACCATGAAAAATGGTGGTGCCTATGCTTGTACCTTGTGTGTAGTAAGAGTAAGTGAGGAATGCTTCACAGAAACCTTTGGGTAGCAAGAATGATGATCTCTAGTGACTGGAAAAAAAACTGGATAATTAATTTCCAAAATGATTTTTATTTTTATGCTGTCTGGCTTAGTAGTCTCAATCTCTACTTAGTTCAAGTGAAATGATAACATTTGTTTTTTGACTGTTCTTGCTGGGAGTTCCAGGCAGCTCCAGAAAGTAATGTTTGGAAGATTCAACTTGTTGGCTACCCCTCTTTTTTTGTAACCAACAGATGGTAATGTAATATTGAAATATAAACAGGCCCTTGATGATCTAAACAGCTGGAAAACAGGATTGACTGGCAATTACACCCCTCAAGGAAAATAACTTTTATTATAATTAGCTATATTTTTGTGACCCTGAATTCTAAGTGGAAAACTAGTTTCACCATGATCTGAAAACCTTCTGGTGAGCTGTCCTTCAACTCCCTTCTAGTGTTCACACGGTTGGGGGAGAGCTGAGCCACTGCAACCCTACCTTCCTGGGAAGGTTTGGGATTTACAGTTGAAAGGGACTAATCAAATGCAATGTATTTGTTAGCTATGTGTTTACATATGTAGTCAACATAGTTAAATTCCTATTTAACTGAAATCCAGAGTATCAACATTTTTCATTCAGTCAAGGATAAAATTTTTAGTTAAAATGTGTGCAGTTGTTGTCATTGACCAGTGCATCCCAAATGCCAAGTAATTCAGTGTGTAGTATGGACTTTTATCACTGAAATAGAACTTTTACCCTGTATTATTATTTAGTTTTAGTTTAAATGACTTTTGACGTAATCCTATCTTGTATCTTTAAATTTAACATAATAAGTTTCTAGGGCTTTCAATTTTTGTGCAGCAAACTTCTCAATGGGATATATGCTTAAGAAAAATGGTCTATTTCATTAATTAGAATAAACTCAAGCTTGCTCTAAATAGCATGATTCTAGAGATTAAACTTTGTATCTGTTATTTTCATGTTTCAAAGCATACCACTAAACCACACTTTCAAGATGTGGGTCTTTCAATTTGCAACTATTTTTGGTCTTTATTTTTATTTTATTTGATTTTATTTTTTGGCAAGTGCCACACAGCCTTAAATAGGGCCAGCATGTTCTCTTAGAAGTGAACTACTGTTTCTTGTGAAGCATGACTAATTTTGAAAACCACCTGTTTTCTCCCTCCATATGCTGCTTATCCTCGTGTAGGCAGGTATTTACCAACATGAATTCCTTTATTTCCTAGCATTTCAGGCAGAAAGTCAAAGCTCTTTGAATAAGTCCCTTATTTTGAAAGGCTGTTGATACTAACAATGCTAAAGCTTGTTCCTGTCTCCTGTATGTAGGAACTGTTTGGGATCAACTTAAGGTACTGACTAGTGAAGCTTGTAGTTCTCTCTGAAAACTTGCTTACTGTCATTAAATAAGAATACACAGGACTGTGTAGCACATAGGTAGATGCTTGCATAGAATCCACGACCCACTGTATCTATTCCCAGAACCACAAAAATAAATAAATAAAAGCAGTAATCTTGGAATTCTTTTGAATAGTTTCTCATTAAAAATAAAGTCAAGTTATTCTTGTTTCTGATTTTTTTCAAAATCTAAATTCTAACTTCAGGTCATTGAAAAGTCTAATCAACAAGAAGCCAAGGCCACCCAGTGTACCAAACCTAGATTGAGTCTGTTCGAGGGCTGTGTTGTCTGCCCTCTTAGTTCCAAAACAACCAGAGTGAAAGGAAACTCATTCCATTCAGTGAGAAGCCAGGTGCTGTCTGTCCTAGTTAGTCACTAGTTAGTTATCTCTAGGTAGGGGGAAAGTTTCAATCCTACAGTTTAAAAAATATACTCAATTGAAACTCTTTCTTTTCTTTTCCTGTCTTCCTTCCTTCTCTCCATACCTCCCTCCTTCCTTCCTTCTTTCCTTTCTTTCTTTTCTTCCTTCTTTCTTTCTTTCACTTTTTTTGTGAACAGTACCAATGGATTCTCTGATCCAAGAGCTCAGGTAAGATATCACCTTCATGACTCTTTCAAATACTGATTGATCTAGAATGAATTGTCTTTCTCCAGCTTCCTTGATTTAAAATGAGGACTAAGCCAAAGAGTAACTTCACTTTGGCTCCTTTTAATGCTTGGGGAAGCAGAGAAGGGCAGTGGCTGTGCTGATAATGGGGCTGAAAATATTTGATCTAATATTCTAATTTTAAAAAACCTTTTTGTATAATGTCAGTAATTATCTGCTTTTCTTCACTGGCCACCTCTTTTCCGTATGACTGTATACCATGTGAGGCTGGATTTTGCACTGATGGTCCATGAGCATGATGAATGAATTGCCTGGATTCTAAATTATCCAGTTTTTGTTTTAAATAATTAGATAATTCCATCACCTAGCTACTTCCAAGTTTTAACCTACACAGTAGAAAATAATGTGACAATTTTAAAGCAGGTCCTTCTATTTCTGTTTTAGGTATTGTACCTTGGACAGTGTTTTGGAAATGCTATCTTACTGAGTGATGCAGAAATTCATTGGGGTTTCAGTCACAGAATTATTGTCAAAGTATAAACTTTAAAAGTAAAGTACAAAGAGAAAAGAAAGGACTATCGGGGGGGGGGGGACACAGACTGAAGATACTTGCTTTGAGGAGCACAATTGCTCTTGCAGACCCAGTAAGCCCCCACTCCTATTGACTTGACTTTCTGAACCCAGAAACCTGTTTGTATTCTCAGGGCAATGCTTGAAGGAGGAGTGTTACAGTGTCTGACTTAGTTTTTTGTGTCCAGTTCCCCACACTCACTTCTAACTGAATCCACAGGTCTTTTGCAATTGAGCATCATAGCCATGTGACTGAATTCTAAGTGTCACTGAGAAATGTGGAATGCCTTCTCTAGCCTAGAAGTTATGGTAGTAGAGAATGCTGGTAACTGTGTATAGTTCTCTTTAAAATGAACTGGCATGTTACTGCTTTCAGAGTGACTACTTACAAAAAATACTAATACAAAAGAAGCTAATTTCAATATAGTATATATTGTTCATGGCACTAATAAAATTGATACTGACATTCTCATCTTATTCTGTATGTCAGCTACTATCATCACCATTAAAAAAGCAATTTATAACCACAGTCCTACCTTTAATCATCACCCTTATTAGCATTTCCAGTTTTCCTCCAACACATTCATGGTACAGATGGTATAGAGAAAGTTGTGCTGTCTTCCTCAGTCACAACCACTGCATTATCTCTGCTCTCTTCTTACTACCATTTCCCTTAATCTAGACCTCACTAATATCTCTAGAGACCAGGACTGTTGCAGAATTCCACTGCCACAGACTGTATTCAGTTGGACCTCGAGGATTCATTTGCAGTTTACTAGGATATTTTTCAGATCATGGTTAAATTTCCTGCTCCTAACCAAAGGAAGAATGTGTTTCGATATTTATCCTCTTAGTCCTTCTTCTGCATCCATGCAGTGTTGGTACAGTGGAGTCAAAACGGACAGCATGGTAAACCTGTGGGGTCAGGTCACAGCATCTCCAGAAGGGATGTGAGCAGAAGATGTGAGCACATCTTCAAGCCATTTCACAGCAGATATAAAATGTAGACTTTCAGATTTTTATTTTAAGGATTTCCCAAATTTTTTATTTCCATCACACTCCCATACTTCCTGCTAAGAAAAGTCTACTCCCCAAGTTGTTTCCTCTTTTATTATTATAAACACTCTTTGCAGGGAAATGGGTGAAAATGGTGGTAATGATATTTGTACTTTTTGAGATTGTAATTTTAATGGTGAGCAGTGCTTCAATAAACACTGAGTGCAAGTATGTCTGTGAAATAAAAACAGAATACTCTTTGCTTCTCACTTTTGTTACAGGTTATGGCTAACAGAATTCTTCCCTTTGTCTTTTACTGCATGGGATTTGTGCTTATTCTTACAGCCTAGGACTCACAGAATCTCATCTTTGTCGTGTCCCATGACATCCTAGACAGACTAATATTTTCTTCCTCTATTCCAAAGCTTTTCTACTTCTCTCTTTTAAAGCACCACTTACTTTGACTCGTAGCCCTTTTGTTATGTATTTTTCCATTTGTCTACTCACTCAAAAGGAAGCAGGTTCTAGGCCTTCAAATGTGCAGGTGGATTGGAAAGACAAAAGAGAGGGAACAAGCTGAATGAAAGTCTTATCGACTTTGTATAATTCTGTCTTTTATATAACAACTACTTCTTTAAGTACTGGGAATTTCTTCATTCTTCGTTTCCTCATGTTATTTTACAAATAAAATACTCTTACATCATTAATCTCTATTTGTCTTTAAAATAAATCATGTTAGAGGTTTATTGAAAAAAATTCTATTCAGCCTTTTACTTTTTACAACTGTCTTCAAAGTATCAACATGAATGGGAGAAACCACACAAGACCCAGCTCATAGATGAAGAGCTACATTCAGTTGATAGTTGCTGAGAGGGAGAATCATTCTTCTCTGAGGATAAACTCCCTAATAGGCTATCCAGTTCCAAATGCTCATCTCTCTCTCTCTCTCTCTCTCTCTCTCTCTCTCTCTCTCTCTCTCTCTCTCTCTCTCTCTCTCTCTCTGTGTGTGTGTCTGACACTAAATGAACTCAGCTTGCTGTACCTTTCTCTCTTTCTCACACAAATATACACATATATGTATAAAATAATTTAAAAAGAGGTCATGAATTTGAGAGGGTGTGGGGGCATGGAAGGATTTAGAGAGAGGAAAAGGAGGTAGAATTGATGTAACTATAGTTATCTCATATATGAGATTCTCAAAAAAAATTAAATTTAAAAAAGTACCTGCCACACTTCTTCCAAATTCTTAGAGTCTTTCCACTGTCCTGTACTTTCACTTATTTTTAAAGAAAAATTTATTAAATGTGATAAGGACAGTTACCATCTTAACCTAGTCATGTCATGCCCCCTTTAAATTCATGACTGCTTAGACAGCAAGGTTTCACCAGCCTTTCAATTACAAGCCAGGAAGTGTATATCTGTCTCTAATTTATTTTTATACTATCAATAACAAATTCCATCTATATAGTGATGTATTGAAGTGTCAAATATAAAAGTGAGGTGCTCTCATTTTTGTCAATACCTACTGTGGTCTGATTTGGTCATTTCCAGTCAAGAAGAGAAGACTAAATGGACAGAAATAAGAACCACCAGTTCTGAGCAAAGGAGTCTGAAGACAGGTGGCTCATGCACAAGCCAATATTCCGCCCAAACCTGTGAGCACGTGGAAGTCAAAGGCTCAGGCAGGCAGTTGCTGTGGAGCATAGGGACAGAACCCCACTTGAGCATTAGCTTCTGTTACTGTCCTCACAGTGAATCTGAAGAGAAAACAAACTCTTACCTGCCAAAGACTCACTGAGGGATGCTTCTTAAAGGTGGGATTCGAAAGGCACCTCCAGCAATCATGCACAATCAAGTGCAGCCTGAGCCTCTGAACCTTCCTGATGTGGGAAACCACAGAGCCAACTGTTCATCCAACTGTTCTTCCAGGTTGATCTGTAAGAATAACTAGCTGAGCCTTGCAGATTCTTCCTAGTGTCTATGATAGTAGCTACAGAGCTCCCCCCACCCTCACCAAGGGCCCTGAGCCCTTCTTGCATGAGGATACCACAACATAGCCAGGGGTCCTCATGCAGGTGGGTCACTGAGCTTAAAGAGTGAGCTAGAAGGCCACTTTTCTATGGCCCCTCTCAAAAACACATGTTCTCCCAGCATGGCAGGTACCTTGATTTTCTTCTACCACTTATGGCTAGCTTTTCTTTGATTTTCTAATCTCATGACACTGGGCTCCTCAAGGTAAATCTTTGTTTCTCTGTAACTGTGATTCTCTGATGATCTCATTTGGGCTTTAAGTACATCAGCATGAAAATAAATCTACATTTTCAGCTCTCCCTACTTCCTTGAACTTCAGATGCAGAGCAGCTTCTGGGTAGATGAGTAGACTAAGGATGAAAACACTGTAATCTCATTATCACTATTTTGCCATTCAAGAATCCTTATAAACAGTGATTTACAGACTAGCTTTCAGAAGTCTACCCAGTGAGTGTGTAAGTCAGAGGATAAAATGAGACTTAGGAGTTCCCCCAGCCCCCAGGCTTATAGTGCAACCTGTGTCTCAGGAACTTAGAACATGCCTCTGTACAACCTGCTCACTGGATTCTGAGCACCATGAAGTGGGTGCTGCTACCCACACTAGACAAATAAGCATCAGTGCAGAACTTTGTGGGGCACTAGCTGCAATATTCTTTTGGGTCTCTTAGTCCCATGCTTTGCTTCTCTAACAGAATACTGCAAACTTGAGCAAATTATAAATGCATTTATTTGGTGCATAAGGAAAATCAAAATCTAGGGGTTACAAAGGTACAGTAAGAGCACTGTACTCCATCATCCTTGGGCAGAAGGTATCACATGCCAAGAAGGATGAAAGGAGTACAAAATTATCTTTATAACTCTCATATTCCCGGGATGTTGTCCTTACTATACCTGTGGTGACAGAGTCCCTAGGTCCCAATTACCCCTTAAAGGCCCCAGTTTTCCATACTTTGCAAGGATAGTTCACTTTTTATATGAATCTTGGAGTAGACTTGAAACCATAGCAGAGAAAAATGGTTGTATAATGATCTGAATAAAAATAAACTGGAAAAAGGTCATATTGTGGAATATTAAGCAAGAATAGTTAGTGGCAAAATGGTTCCTACTACTGCCACTGAGGAATAGAAATAGCAAGGTACACCCTGAGAATTAAGGGCAAGAAAGCAGATGAAAAATCAACATAACCTGTATTGGGTCCCCAGAAAAGGAAGGAGGTAGCTCATGTGTGGGGTGTGAAGGCAGATCTAGACACCCAAAGGTGCTACAATAACAGCAAACAACATGTACACACAACATGTGTTGACATCATTTTTGTTGGAGTCCTTCTAAATCAGAGACAGTATTTATTATTTCTTTTAGCTCATTTGTTATGTACTTACTTATTT